TCTGGTTTTGTCCAGTCACATCAAGCAGTTAGCCCATTGCAATGCTGCTATTGGTCTGGCTTCTCTGTTGTGACTGGCATCCTCTGCAGTGTTGACATCATCTCTCCATCTTCATTAAGATGAAGGGTGGCTTTCTTGGGAGTTCACCTCACCTGCTGAATGAGCTTCTGAATGCCTTATGGAACAGTTCATCAAGCTTTTTTTCTTTTTCTGAAATATCTTCTAAACCAATAGTTATGCTTGTGTGGTGGAACTTCTGGACAGCAGAGAATGATTTTGGAAAGATATTATCCATGTATTATTTGTGAACTTGCTGAGAGTTTACTCGATCCCACTGAATCTTTAATGAAGACATTAAACATTTTGGACTAAGTGTTGATCCTGGAGGGATGGTAGTAGTCACTGGCCTCTAGCTGGACCTCCCACAGCTTAAGAGAGTAACTTGAGTCCAGCAGTCCAGATAGTTCTGTACCCATCTAATGATCCATTTCTCCAGTCTGTATCTCATAGATCTGTCTGTAAGTTGGGCAAGATTTTTCTTGTTGATTCCTCACATTCTTGTCCTTCCAGTGGCTGAAAGTGGCTTCCAGGAGGATTTTCTTCATCTTTTTCCTGGGGACTGAAATGAGACTGATGGGAATCTTGTTCCATGAATCTTACTTCTTGAAGATGGGTGTGATGTTATCTTTCTGAATAACCTTCCCTGAAGGTTTTGAAGATGATAGAGAACTGTCTTTCACTGGTGCTGCCAGCTCCTTCAATACCCCTGTTTGCATCTGGTGTCCCTGTGGATGAAGTGCCACCTAACTCAACACTTCTGTCTTGTGAGTACTGACTCACTGCCACAGACACTGTGAGGAATGCTTGATTACCTTGGAGGCCTGAGGAAGCGAGATCTTATTGTGAAAACAGAGGCTAAAACAAGATTGACCACATAAGCCATGGGGTCTCTTGCCACATTGAACAGTGGGCTCACATTTTCCCTAGTCTTCCTTTTACATCCTGTCTGGTTTTAGAAGCGGTTTTTTTTATCAATCCCTTCATGTAATATTAGTTGCTTCCTATGGGTGCAAGGAATTTCCATTCATGAGGATTATGAAGTTTCCACTAACAGTTAAATTTAAGATATATTTTTTTTTAAATTGAATTTTAAGCAAAATGGAAAACCCAATGTGGATATGTAGCAGCATAGAATATCTTAAGTTGGAAGGGGGATCTTTAAGGATTGTCAGGTGCAACTCCATACGCTCCTCATAGGACTACCTAAAACTAAACCATATTACTAAGAGCATCACTAGAGAGAGATCAGTGTCCTGTTGCTGCTCACTAGAGAGAGATCAGCAGCTCCCCCTCTGCTACCTCCCTTGATGAAGTTGTAGGCTGCAGTGGAGTCACTCCTCAGCCTTTTCTTCTCCAAACTGAACAAGCCAAGTGGTGTCAAACTGCTCCTTGTAATTCTTGCCCTTGAGGCCTTTCACGACCCTAGTCTCCCTTCTCTGGGCACACTAATAGCAATGACCTTCTGGTACTGAGGTGCCCACAGCTGCACACGGGATTTAAGGTGAGGCTGCACTTGTGCAGAGTAGACTGAGACAGTCACCTCCCTCGACATGTTTCTCAGTACAACGTATTCTGCAATTGCTGTATTATTTGTACCCTGGTATTAAACTGTGAAACTAACTGTTCTCTCTTGGCCATCTTTCTAATCCTTATCCAGTAGCATGTACCCTAATCCACACATTTTTTAAAACACTTAAATCTTTGTGAGCAAGCACAACTCTACTTTTACACATCCTATTACTGTCACCTCTGGCCTCATCAAAGATAAGCTGTGAGATTAGGTATACCTCTGCTCTACTCAAATATAGTCAAGCAAAATCTTTGACGGAACAGCAAAGCTGTAACTAGAATTTCATGCTTTGCATACTGGTGAATTCAGAGTGTGATTACATGGCTCTAAATTGATTGTTTAAAGACCAATCATCTCATCTTGCTCTGCTGACACCAGCACTCATGTCTTATTCCACCAGTTTGTCTGATCCCACTGAGCTGTTGATTTGTAGAAGGGACTGAGGAGAATAATTAATATTCCTGGGTCTTGTCACTGAAGTGATTCATTATGAGAGCAGCCAAGTACCAGCTGCAGGTGTTCTTGGGTGCCTGGCTTAAGCATGACCTGCAGCCATGTCCTCCCATCTATTGAGGTATACTCCTCTTGACACCTGTAAGCTAGCAGGGAACTTATAGTGCAGGTAGGAGGAAACAAGTAAAGTGCACATAGCAGGCTGTACAGGAGAGCTGCCGTGTTTTTGATGAACTTGCATTTTTACTGCAGCAGTAGTGTCTTTCTGTGATATGCTCATTCCCACCTTTTCCTTCTTTGATGTAGCCTTGACTTAGTACAGCCACATACAGAGAGGCACATATTGCCAGTATGATAGTAGCAATGTGAACTGGAATTCTGTCTTACTGATTACACATTAAAATTTTGTATCTATAGTTGCTGTTTTTCATGGGGTTTATAATGAAATAACAGGCTGCTGCAGGATTCAATACAACAAAACTTTTAGGGCTCAAGGTTTGGTATGTCCACATTTTGTTTTCTAAAAGCTGTATGGGATTTACTTTCTTTTTGTGTGTAACTAGATTTGCCAAATCAGACCTCACATGGTAGTAATGCTGTTCATCCCATCCCTGTAAATCTTTCTGTAAACTCTCGTCCTGTTTTGAAATACAGTTTGTAATATTAAGACTGTTAATGGTCTGAGTACTTGCCCAGAAACTGATATATCTTAGAAGTCTATAGCCTTTTTTAAAATGTCAGCTTTCTAAGAATGTCTGTGTATAATGATGAATATATAAATATTCCCAAACTGTAATGTTTCTGAATTTTAAAAAGAAAATTTATGCAGTAGTTAAACCTCAGTTTATTTTAGTGACTCAGACTTTTATGCTCCAGGGAGAAAATGGTAACTTCCAACCCTAGGAGAAAGAACTTTCGGCAGAATTTTTTGTTTCTTTGCTTTTAATTTCAGGGCAGGGCAAACCCTGATCCTCCTGATTTTATTTCTGTTCCACATGGATATGTATCTTTTTGTCATATGAACAAAAGTATTTTGGGCAATAAAATATCTGCTTAAACTCTGAAATTAATGGATTCATTTATGTTTGCTTTTTCTGAAAGATGGTTTGATTTTATGCAAATGGTATGTTCTATTAAGTTTGTGGGATTAAAAAACATTACAGAATTCAATTTAAAGAACAATACTATTTAACCACCCATTTGACATCATCTATGGGAGTAAACAATGACACATTCATTTTCTATGCTTTTGCGCAGGTTTATGGTATGCACATGTGGCTACAAATTTTCCTTGTGGCTGATTGTTCTTTGTTAGCTTGTGCCTTCTCCTGCATTCAGCTGGGCTAAATGCAACCAAAGCCCTTGGCAAGTTGAGGCTAAAAAGTATTCATCAGGCCAAAGGATCACTTACTGTGACTTAAAATAGCTAATAGCTGTCAACATTACCATGATTACAAGAAGCAGTGTCCATTCCTTTTGGACAGATGATTTTTCAGAGTTTTGGCTCTTGACAGGTTCTGGTTTAAGTGTCTGAGAAATTGAAATGAAGAATTGGAGAAAACAGTTGTTATTTGCTCTATGTGGGATCTTATGTCACAAAATGTTAGAATACATAACTTTTTTTTTTTTAATTTTAATACATGAACCTACGGTCAAGGAAGAAAAACAACTTTATTGCATTCTTCCTCTGCCTTTGCATTCTAGCCACATTGTTGAAAACAGTCTGGTAAAAGTAAATTTTATTACCTAGGCACGTCCCTCAATATTCTCTAGGCTACCATACGATCTTCTGAACAAAGTTCTCTGCAAAAAGATTCATTTGGGGCAGTGTTTAATTTTTTTTTTTAATTGAAATCCAGTCTTCAAAAGCTTGAGGGCAGTAAAATATCATCCTAACTTAGAGAGGTAAAATGTGAAGTATACATATCTACATCCTAGATTTCCCAGTTTTGCAATTCCCATTTTTTTAATTAGTGTAATATGCATGAGGCGTGCAATGGGTCAGCTCATTCCTGACCCCTGAGTCAGAGGATGGTTTGATTATCTGAAGAGACAAGGATAATCACACAGGACATCCACAAAACCAGTGTGACTTTGTACATGGTAACCTGTGGGAAGAGAGGGGTGTTTCTTTGCAAGCGCAGAGCTCTGCATCTTCTCTTCAGCTTTGCAGGGCTTGTCAGACAGCAGCTAAGATGTCTCTGGCCTTTAGTGCTTTGAAACAGTGGATAAATGAATAGCTGTGCTAGGAATCAGAGAAATCCAGGCACAGCAACACTGGAGCACAAGACAAGATTTTAGCCGAGTTTCCCTCAGATGGAAGGAATAATCTTTACATGTCTGGTAACTGCTCTGTGATGGCTGATTTATCTGTGGTTTCTGGAAGTGATCTGTTTGTACCTAAGAGTCTTTAAAATCAAGAGAGGGAGCTAGATTCTTTTTATAGTAAAATTGCTGCTTGCTTAGCAGGCATACAGGTTATTTACTGTACTCTAGATAACATAGAAGCTGAAATTAGAGACATACTGCTTTTATTTAAAACCTCAGGCTGTTTTTTACAGTGTATCTTCGTGGTGAGTTAACCTTGGCTAAGGGCTGAACTCCCAACCAGATGCTTGGTCATTCACTGTGCCTCCTCAATAGGGCCAGGGGAGATAACAGGGTGGGAAAGCTCATAGGTTAGGATACAGATGAGAGATTGCTTACCAGTTAACGTCATGGGCAAAACAAACTCTACTTGGGGAAAATTAATTAACAGTGTGGTTTCATTAACCCATCCCATACTGAGAAGAAACATGGATACTGTTTGTTGGACTTTTATTCTTCTACCAGTGAGATTTGTTAGTTTTTAGGCAGGCGAGACTCTCTCTGTTCTTGTTGTTAATGTTTGATTGACGTGCTTTTTGTCTTGCAACAGATCATGGTAATGTCAGATGGAACATCATTCTCTTCAGGACAGAGCCTTCATCTCCCCAGCCTTCCTAGTAACTCCCTGTCTTTTTCTGAAGCGAAGAAGAAGTCATCTCATGGGCCAAAGGTGAATCTTATTTTGCTAGAAGACACTTCAGCTAGTGGTGCTTTTCCTGGAAATTACCTTGAGAGGGAAAAAAAGATTTCTAGTTATTTTTGCAATCTTTCCAATGATAGCAGGTCTTGACATTTCTTTGCTGTGAACTTACTGTATGCCACATCAAAATACTGCAGGACAAGAGTGGCTGTGGAACAAGTGCCAGTGAAAGTTTTCTGGTTTTTGTACTTGTGCAATTGTTTTCCTCCTTTTCCAAAAGGAATTGTAATGGTCTGTTGTAGTATTAGGCGATTCTGGTAGAGGAAGTGTGATCTGCAGGAATGTAAATATGAGATAATAGTATAATAATAATCTCTTTTATTAATCTCTTTTATAGATAATTGTGTAGAGTGAAACTTGAAGTTGTATTCTTTAGGATTATTAATTTTTTTTAATTTCAGGGGTTAATTCTTTACTAGATTTTTCAAAGACAGCAGCGTGTCATCAGTCTGTAGGAAATCAAATTGAATCCCCAACCCTAGAACGTGGTAAAAAGGTATAATCCCAGGAACCTTCTGAGTAATACAAATGGACCTTTCCAAAACAGCAGAAAATTTCTTCAGTTTGACAAAATTAAGTGGGAAATATGGGAAAATAAAGATCAACTTGTTGTTTATTCAAGTGAGAAATGCAACACAGTGGACTGCTTCATTAGTGAATGAACATATAAGCCTTTTCTCCGTTCTGTTAAATTGTTTGGGGTTTTATTTTCTTTCATAGCGTCTTTTCAATTTGAAATATCTTACTTAATCTTGCAGTGCATGTACTGCAAGGGGCAATACCCATTTTAATAATAACTTTCATGTTCAGTGTCTTTGCCAAATCTCATACCATGCAAGAATTGTCAGGTAATGAACTAGGCGTATGCCTAAGACAGGATAGTGAGGATACACAGTAAGTAAGCACAAGCGAAAAGTGTTTTCTGGCATCTCTCTGCCTGGTTTGCATTATATTTCAGTGCCTCGCAATCTCTTATTTTGGTGGCCGTGCACCATTTAAAGCATGTATGGAAGTATGGTTGTGTTCCTAAGGAGAAACTGAAGTCTAATATGAGGGTTAGACTGAAGGTGCTTCCTTTGGCATGCTAAAATGACCGCTTAATTCCTCAAAGGAAGGCACCTGGCTACACCAGGTGTGGAAGCAAGGTGCTGTTGGTTAGACTAGGATGTATCTTCATCTCATTGGATACCAAAGATAAGGTACTTCAACACTTTACCATCTATAATGGGGGTTCTTGTGAGATTGTGTAGGTAGCTCTCTAGAGTTCAGTTTCAAATGACTTCTTAAGATTCACCTGATTTTTTGTTTATTTTAATGGAGATGGTATTAGTGAGCCGCAGTATTTTGATTCTTAAAAAAATCTCTAATCTTGAAAATAGAGAGGACAGGCAGAAATATAAGAAAACTTACTGTACGCATTTTTTCAGAATTTAAAAATAGCTGCAAGCTAGCTAAGAATACTTCTGTTGCTTCTAAATCAGTTATATTACTGTGTCTGTTCATATTTATGTGGATACTACATGCACAGAATACAGAGAAGCCGCTTGATTAGGGTTTTTTTGGGAATGATCATGTCTTTTGGAATGAGCTGTACTGTCAGTGCAGTGAAGTGAGATTCATTTTTATAAACAAAGAAAACAAAAGCTCTTATTCCTGCTTGTGACCAGAAGACACATAAGTTGTTTCATGCTCCCCCTTTTGGATTTTTCTGTCTAACCAGAGAGCTTTGTAGTTCTCCATCTTCTTCTAATTCTTCTGATGTCATTGTTGTGTCATTGGTCATAACAATTTGGTGGCTTGGGCTAAACTGAAGTGTGGAAAGCTTTGTAAACATGTGAGCAGCAGGTAAATTAATCTCCTACCCTGCAGTATTTGCGGAGGCTTTCAGAATATTTGTTTTCCTATTTTTTTTTTTCCAAATCAGTTTGTGTTGTTCTTCAATAATAAACACATTTGTATTCAATAGGAACCTGAATTTCCTTGATCAAGGAATTACTTTTAGATATCTTCCTCCTCTTTTCCTCTAAAGAGCAGTAGGCATATATGACACTAGTTGTAGTCCATTGACTTAAGATGGACGCATTATTTCAATAAACATAATTTTTTTTAATTAGAAATGAAAATAAGGCACATTATTATGGTCACTACTACTAAATTTGTAGTTTAAACTCAGAGTACAGTACACTGACAAGGCCATGCCAATGTGCTCAATTTAATGACTTCATAAAATTTAATGAACTGCCCCTGGCCCTCTGCCTTCTCCCCCCACCCTGCCTCTCCCAAATGCTCCATTTGCTAATTAGGTTCCTAATGTCTGTTAGTAGATGAGGAGGTTTGCAGTGGTTTCCAGACGTTACTGCTTATTCAAACTCATGTTAAACCAAACTGGGAATTACATTTTGTGAGGTAAAGTCAAAATCCAACCCTGCAACATATACAGAGCTCAATACCATTTTTGTGCCCTGTAGTTACAGAATTGTTTTAATCTGCAAATGTGTTACCTATTGAGCAGCATTCACATGTCTCTCAGATTTACAGGACAATGTATTCTGTGATTTAAACTTAATATCATGAGCTCATTAAGAAATACAACAAACATGACAAACTGGGTCGGTCCCCTTTGCCCATACTAGTTTATCATATGAATTCACTTATTCACTGCTCAAGTCATAAAGTTTCATAATTTATAACCTGTAACTCCTAATCCATGCAATTGTGATACATAAAAAACTGAAATCAGTTACCTAGCTGAGAGTGAGAGTGCTTCTCCTTCCTCATCTGTCACATTGCAGGCATCCCCTATATCACAGTGGGAAGCATGAAAGTCTGAGCAGTACAGCTGGTAACGAATCAACTTCAAAAACTGGGTTTTTTTTTTGTAAGCCAATGTTTGATGTCTTCCAGACTGGATGTTTGGCTTATGTAATTTCCATGAGTTAGTAGATTCTGATGAAACTGCCAAAGATGATGGTTGTAGGAGACAGCGATTTCCAGGTATCATGGCAGCATAATGGCTCTTTAGCTCTTTCTGGCCATCTGTCCTGCCTACAATATGCAGTCTGCTCCCAGAACGCATCTCAGGCCTTAGCATGAACTGTGTTGGCCAGAATCTGAGCAGGAGCTGAGTATAACAGTCTCAGTAGCATGATTTTTCTCTGCTGGTAAAACTTAAGATTTTTATCATGCTTTCTAAAATACTTGTTTTTAAAGCTATGTTAGCCCCTTTCATAGAGCAGTGCTATATGTCTTAAAGTACTGTATGTACTTAGTGTTACTTGGCTTAAGAAAGGAAAATATGTGCAGATATTTTAACATGCATATGATCCTCTGTATTATTCTTTTGGTGTTTGATATGCGAGGCATCAAAGTAACATTCACGTGGGTTGCTTCAGTATTTGATGAATACCTAAATGTAAGCTGTGGTATGCAAATATATTACCTGTCAAAACCCTACCATCTCAATTTTTTACATGAACTTGAGAACAGACTGTTTTATTTGTCCCTCTTAGTAGAAATACTTAACTTACTTCTTGCAGCACAGCTTAAGGTGGGAAGGAAAAGAAACATTTAAATACTGTTAGATTTTGATAAATAAGAAAATGGTTTGAAAGCACATTCTGATTTTCAGCAAGATCTATGCTGTACACGATATGAAAAATTAGCCACTTTTCATCCCCACCAGCCTTCCACATCCATTATTAGGTTTGAAATAATTTACCATTGAGTATAATTTGACTTTTTTTCTGTCTTCAAATTTTATGTTCCTTTTGCTGTTTTCTTTATGTCATTATTGGCTTCTGTTTGGGTAATTGCAGAAATTTAGGAAATAAGCAAATGTGCTTTTTTTTACTTAGAGAATGAATGCAGATGTAAATTCAATGGGTTGACCGTCTTAATGAAAGGGTAACTCTGAGAGACCATGTGAGAATGGTGTATAAATGTCTGTATCATAAGTACATCAAATATCTGTACTATGATTTCTATGAAAACATCAGCTTCCATGTTGCAGAAGGGGAGAGAAGTCCAATTGTAAAACTGAGAAGACTAGATCTCAAGTTCCTGTTGATTTTAATACTACTCTGCCCCAGGGCTGTGCTCTCATCTCCTGGAAAACCTCTAAAATGAGACTGTCCTTTGAAGCAATTTAAAATAACATGTTAAGGAGAGGAGTAAGAAAAATAAGGACTCCATCTAGTTTAGTAATGGCACGTGTTTTATTCCTCCCCAGGGCAACACTTACAGTTCTGGCATGATAGAGCAAGATGTGATGCTAAATACATTAATTATTAGTTCATATGTCAAACTTTGGTGCTGAGCATCAAAGTAGACAACTTTTTTTTTTTTTTTTTTTTAATTTTAAAGAGAAACACCTGAAAAGGAGTTATGACTAAAGTAAAACATCTCAAGGAATGATTAGTACTTTTTAATTTTTGCTTTTTAATTACTGCCCTGGGAAATGAGCAACTGCTTTATGTTCAGACATTCAGATGTCATTATAGTATTGTTCCTTTTTGATGGTTCTGCCCATTGTTAATGTTGATGCATGTATATTATATAGCTACATAGTTCAATTTTGAAGTCTGACTCAAAAATACATTTGCAGTACTAATGCAAGAAGCATCTGAAGAAAAAGTGTAATTGAATAATTTGTGCAGCACTGTGTGAAAACTCAGTGTTTCACTAAATAAGATATTGAGAAGGGAAGAACACTTCAAAATAATTATTTTTACTTAATTGTTTCCACCTGTTGCTACAGAGAAGGGAGATACTGCAGTTCTTGCACATGTTTTATGTGTAAACTATTCAGGTCCTACAGCTTTAATTACTGGCTTAACACATCCTGATTGAACAAATTATAAGTAGCTATCTACCATTAGTGGGTGTAGTCTCAGTCTTCTCTAATTGACACCACTTCCATTAACCAGGTTAATTTTGCTTTGTTTTCTTGTGTAGTTTTTTTTTTTTCTTAGAGCAGTTCTACTGCATCCATTATTTTAAAATTAGTCAGCCCTCAGGAGGATGAGGCTGGCCATGTCCTGCTTTGGTCCTTTATGTTCCACCACACTTCTGCTGTCCCATCTACATTGTAGGTAAAAGGGTGGTTAAGTAAAGATAAAGAAAAACAAAATATGTTTTTTCTTATGTAGCTTTGTAAATCTGTGGCAGATTTACAGCCAGATATACTATATTTACATACACTTCTGTTCTAGGTAAAGGAAAAAGAAATCAGTGGGTATATGCAATGCATATTGAAGTGTTGCCTAAAGACTGAGAGCAGAAAAAATTCCAGGCAAATTTAATAGAGATAAGATAATAGAGCAGGTCTTTAATGAAGGCCTCCTGGTGCAAAGAGTACAGAAAAGGTGTGCCCTGTGTCCAGGCGTTCCACAATTTATGGTCTGATCCAAGAACCACCCAACCCCAGGTCTGCCCCCTGGGCACACCTCCCCGGAAATTGAGTTGGAGGTCCTAAGACCCCTTTCTTCCTCATCTTCCTCTTCTGCACATCATGTTCTGTCTTTGGAGCTTTTCCAAGGTTCCAGGCTTGAAGGTTGCTTTGACTATGATGGTATCTTGTTGTTGAGGCCTGCTGTCTAAATGTTCTTAAACTGGAGGTGTTTAGTACAGTCTGACCTTGATAGGAGCCTAAACAAGCCTGAAGAATTTAGAAAATTTGATATGAAATGGGGAAATAGGGTTTAGTGACTATTAACTACCATTCTAAAGTATGACAGACTATACAGCTACGTTAAAATCTATAAAAGCTAAAAATCCTAAAAATTCAAAGGCATGAAAGTGTTTCTCTAAGTTTCTTGCATGCTAGGCAACATACAGATAGAAATGCTTATAATCAGTTTAGAAGAAAGGAAGCAAGCCATGTAGACTTCTTGACCATGCGTTCCTGCAAATTGAAATGTCACTTTGCAGGTTGGAAGTAATACGAAAATGAAGCTTGTCTTATAGAGAGTGCAACAGGTGTTTAGGACAGTACAGTTAGTCTACTGGCTGCTTTTGCAATACCAAAAGCCCACTTCTGGCAGTTTCAGTGCAAGTGGGCAGTGCAGAACTATTATTGTCTCTTGAAAATTCTGGGTATTAATTCTCAGAAGAAAGGATCCCATATGACCCATTATGAATAGTTCCTTTATTGCTGGTTCCTTCATTCTCAGTTCCCTTATTATCAGTTATAGCTGCAGATCACCACTTTCCTTGCCATTTCAGCTTTTCAGATTCAGATACTGCTTTGCTTTTTCTGTTTTTTCCTGGCTTATAGAACCTCAAAGTCATCACCTTCTCAGAAACACTTCTCACTTTTTAAATTTTTTAAAAAAATGCATTCAAATGCTAAGCAGAAACATGAGCAAATATATAAAGAAGAAAGCTTTTTTAGTAAGGGAAGTTTTCCATAAAAACACATTAACTATTGGCTGTCCAATCAAATCTTCTATGGCTGGGCTGGACCCAGAGTCATCATTGTGTATAAGGAAAAGGATCTGGCAAAAGCTGGAGAAAGGATCACAGAAGAGAAGTCAAATTTTGCCTGAAATGTCATCAAGAGCACATGTTTTGCTCTGATTGTGCAGTAGTTCTGTTGATGTCATATGGTTCATATCATCATTTTTCCTTATAATTTTTTTTCTGATAGCTAATGGTAATGGTAAACGTTGAAAGACTACCTTTATGTTCATCTTATGATGTTTCTTAAAAAAAAACATGTATAATGCATAAGGTAAAAACTAACTTATCTTGCAGATATTGTTAAGCAGTGGTAACTGCTCATGTTTGACCACTTTGTTTGACCAAAATGTTGGGGGTTGTATCTATTCTTGTGTAGGTATTTCTGGTTTTCCATCTGCAGTTCCAAGTTTTGAATTCATATTCAATATGGAATCCTATGTCCATATTGTGTCTGCTTTTTGAGCCTTTAAGGGTTCTTTCTTTTTTATTCTTCAGTAAAATTTTGCCTCTCCTTTTTGCAGGACCCAACTAGGATTCTAAACACAAATAGCAGCAGCAGTAGTAACAGTTTTTCAAAGACCCACAAGTTAACAAAGGAGCACAAAGAAAAATCTTCTAAAGACTCAAAAGAACATAAAAGTGCCTTCAAAGAACCTTCCAGGGAACATAACAAATCTTCCAAAGAATCCTCTAAGAAACCCAAAGAAAACAAACCACTAAAAGATGAAAAAATGGTTCCTAAGATGGCCTTCAAGGAACCCAAGACCATGTCCAAGGAGCCAAAATCTGAAAACGCCCCAATCCTTGCCATAACTTGTGGGCAGCAGCAAGAAAAGAAGACTCTCACAAAAAGGCCCTCTGTGCTGGACTCTGATGAAACTTCTGCAAAAAAAAGAAAAAAAAACAACTCGGATTCGTTATTTAAAAGTTTTTCTAGCACCCCACCACTGATTCTTACTTGTTCAGCTGACAAAAAACAGACAAAGGATAAATCTCAACTCAAAGTGGGGAGAGTCAAAATTGAAAATGATGCACTGGAAGGGAAGACGTCTACTCTGCCGCCTTTTGATGATATTGTAGATCCCAGTGATTCTGATGTGGAGGAAAACACGTCCTCCAAATCTGAAGTAAGTGATTGATTGGTTTTGCTTAACATATGTTGAGTGTTCGTAGTCTTTGGAATTGTGTGTCATATTTGTGTTTTCCAGTTCCTTTCTCCTGTCTAATGGTAGATTATCCAAACTGAAGGAAGTTGATTGGAATGTTCAAACTTGATGCACGTTCTGGTTGAATTGTATTGCCTATTTAAGTCAATTAATAAATGTCAACATTATGATGAATGAGCATATGGGAGCTGGCTATAAACAATACTGCTTTTTGAGGTTCTTTTGCACTTCATGCTTCTTTTGAGACAAAAGGAAAGGGTTTATTTCACACTCTAAATCTTCGGTTTGAGGTGTTAGAGAATTCAGTAAATCCAGGAAAGGATTGCAGTTATATTGGAGTTACTTGTTATTTTTTTGCTAAAAGAGGCAGTTCTATGAACCATGTCAGTTTTGTGGAGGAAGAGTTCCTAGGATATCACTCTGATGAGGAGAATCTATCCAAAATAGCAGGCTTACCAAGAAGAAAGACTGTTTTTTATGGCAATTTGCTTCTCTGAAAATATTTGTGTACTCTGCCTGCTCATTTTTTTCAAGCATGATTTGCTTTTGATAATTAGGATTTTAATCATTCTCCTAGTAAACTTTAGTTTTCAGAAGCATCTTTTATAGAGACATGGGTAGAGAAGGAGAGGTGTGATAGAAGCCTTGTATGGTGCCATTGTCTTTGCTTATAGCTAGGGGTAGTGTGCATGATAGAGAGGAATTCTTCCCTGCCTTGCCTGTTCAATTCTCTCATTTTTCTGTTTTCTGATTTGTGCCTCTGTTACTGTCATCAGATGCATAACCCTGCTTGCCCTCCTTGGAAGAGACAATAAATGCCCTGCTGTGGGGAATTGTCAGCATTAGGTTTTTACTAAATAGAAAGTACTCCTGAGGGAGAAAGTAATTTACTTCTGAAGTGACCTCTTAATGACTGGCCTCTTAGGGCATGCAAAGGCTGTAAAATTTAGAAGGTATGAAATAGGACAGGCGCTGCTTTACAGCGTCACACTGGTGATGTTCTGTGGTTGGAGTGGCATTCTCATTATGGCTTAGAACTTAACCAGTTTGTCTTTAAACCTGTACACTCTTGCTAGCCTTGGTGTGAATTATTTTTTCATGTCTTAAAAGAAGCTGAATCTTCTATTTTAATTTGTGTCACTATCCTTAAGACTAGTTACCTATCCTCAGTATTTAGAATAGATTTTTGGATTTCCTGTTTATTCCAATAGGTGCCATGTAGTGGTGCATATACTGTTACTGGCAGCAGCAATTCTCCATTTTTTTTCAAAGACAGAAGAATTGAGAGGAGCAACTGCAATGTAACTGGAATTTTACAAATGCAGGCTCTATAGAGGTGTGTCCTGTGTAGCAACTTACAGATGATACGTGATGGATATGGATGATACTTAAAACCAATCCTTTTTAATTGCTGATACATGTCTCTCTCTTTAGTGTCTTGCAACCTCTCACCCATTGCCAGTGGTGTAGTGGGTACACCTCTGTGTTTTTCACAGGCTGGCACAAATCCACTCCATTGCTGTTCATCCATCTGCAGTTGACCTGTAGGACCTAAGGATGTTCCTTAATTCTATACCAAAGCTCAAAAGCAGATTCAGTGTTTTCTAGGTCTGCAAGCCACTGTTACTGACAGTGTAAACTACTGGAGTCTGCTCCAAGAGAAGCAAATCCTACTGGTCGGGGCTCTTGTGTATTTTAACATTGACGTTCTGGATCATGGAACACACATGGGAGGGTCAGTGTGGTCCCCATCTGAACAAGTGAAAAAGATGTCTGCCACTTTTGGACTTTGCTCCTTAATAAATCAGACTGAGTATGGCTTCAGTCAGTGATGGGATACTATTTAGAAAGTCAACAATATACTTAAGTTTAAGAAAAACTATCCAGAAAACATGGAATAGTTCCCTGAGGTGCCTGTGGATTCACACGATTGTTAGTGCTATGGGAGAAAGAGCGGGGCAACCTGGTTAATGAGAGTCTTCAGAATTTCACAAAGAATTGTTCCTTCTACATTGTACTAGTTTTAATCAGGGAACCTAAGGAAAGGTTACACAGCCAAGCAGTGTAATAGAGGTAATTCTGTGTGTTGGAAAAAATAGGTTGAACTTTTTTGTATGTCTTGGTAAGTTTCTAAGCATTTCAGGAAAAGAAGTAAATTTTACAGCTAGATCCATAAATGGTATATGCTGTAAATATATTCATATTAAATAAAAAAAAGGTGAAAAGTTACAACTTTACATAGAGAGTAATGGAAGTGAAAATGTGACAGTGCTTTTGCTATACAGAAACAGTTATTTCAGGTCTGTTAAGCTTTATGATATTAACCAACATAGTTGCCCGAAGCTGGAAAGATGCTTCTTCAGTGGCATGTCCTGGTATAATGCTGTAAAATTCAGTCAAATGTTATTTCTTACTCTGGTGCAGTTACAGTGGTGGCTATCGTAGCACAGACGAACGAAGAATGTATCATTATTTGGGAGTATATTCCTTAGTAGAGTATCCAGATTTATTCCTAAAATGTCTTTAAAAAAGCAAAACCACAATACCCAATTCAGCAAATTTGGATTAGATACAATAAATCACGTTACAAATCAATACCTAAAAGAAAATTGTTAGGATACTACAAAAGTATTAACTTTGACTCAAGTGCATTTTTATGACATAGTGCAAACCTAATACTGTATGGATTGTTGTAATGAAATTATGAATAATTTTACTAAGAATTTTGTAGTTTCTTCAGTAAAGGATGGTCTCATTCTGAAATATACATGTCCCGATATGATGACTGTTCTCTTTATTGGTACTAACTCACATGCATAACTTTGCATATCAAACATGATAAATTTGTAATAAAAGGTGCAATGTAGAGTTGAGGACTTTCTGCAAACCAAGTTTCTTTACTGTTGCTGGTCACACTGAAGAATTTTCAGAGTTAGAGGTAGTCCATGTCAATTGCAGAGGCTGGGTTTGGGATTTTAAAATAAGGATGACATTCTGAGAAGTCCTCATGGTAAAGGAATCTTACAAGCATCATTAAACAGAGGTACTGTTTCGCTGGATAGGTGCTACAGGATGGCAGTACTGCTGCTCCCCTGGTTTCCTTGGATATGGCCCCTGTTCAGTGATTTGGGGTGGGGTGTATCATATCAATTAATGGGCTTGAATTTCAGACAGAAAAGCAGAGTGCACTCAACTCTTCTCAGTACTTGCACCATGCTCTACCTAGTTCTGGGCATTCAGACTTGAAATACTGGCCTTTGTCTTAGAGTGGAGGGAGTAGAGGTTTAGCATCCTCTGAGAGAGGTGCATTACTCTTTGTGTGGTAGAGCATGTCTGCCAATGGTTAATCGACCCTCTGAGCACTCCCTTAAAATTCACCTTTCAGAATCCAGATAGTTTAGCGTGGTGTTGCCTCAAGGGCATTTCAGAAAGCCAGACACTGTCCCTTGATGTCCTGGAGTCAGTCCCTTTGTGAGCTTCAAATGCCTTTGTAAAATCCAATGGAAATTAAGGGAATCATACCCTTGCTTAGTGATAAACTTTCTGCCTTTGTTTAATAGCCTTTCTGTGTGTGACTCAAAGACTAAGAACACATAAGGTCATTCTTCTGTGGTCTGTTTGGCATACGCTGTAGTGTGGGTCGCTGTTGTATTTATTTTAGCTTATATTTTCTGTTGACTTGGAGCTGTTGGCCAGTGAAACAAGTGTCCATTTATCTTCATGCTGCTTTATTAAGTATCACTTTTCAAATACATCTGTGATTTAAGTGTGTTGTACTTCAGTAATAGTGATAGACTTGGTGTTCAAAAGAGTGTGGGGTCTTTTTTGAGTCTATGAGCTAGCAAAGCTCTTCGGTAGCAACAGGAATACTCAAAAATCACACAGGCTGAAAAACTATTTTACTGGCTTAGGTATGAAGCATGCAAAGTTAAGGTACAGAGTGAAAGCATGCAAATTTGTGATTTTATTGAAATATAGGCATATTAGCACCATCCACTTCAAAACTCCAAAGATTTTACTTTAAAATTCAGTTTTTGGATGTTTTAGTTAAAGAAAACTCCAGCTGTTTGCTTCCTGTGTAGGACAGTGCAGCAACATGATTCAAAAAAGGACTCGACCTTGATTTTTCTGTCAGTCTGATCCATAAAATATGATATTGTTGTAACATTTGTGTGAGCTGCAAACTGGTGTGTGAGATGGGGAGACAGAATTTTGGATCTGGGTGAGGCATTTTCCAGTGTTGGAGCTGCCGCTTTTGAGCTGTGGAGCCATTGCAGAAGGGATTCTCTGATACTTCTTATTTAGTTATTATTGGCTTTGCTGGACTGGGTATGGAGGGAAAAATGGTACATGGCTCTTCATGAAGTTGCTGCAGCAGAAAGGCACAAAGGAGATCAGGCAGATCATAAATAACTGTTCAGGTGTTAACAAATGTTCTCAGTGTACAGGCAGCAGTTAAAAGTATTGAGGCTATGTTACTGAGAACACAGCTGCATTGACCAGGACAAGTCTCAAGGATGAAGGACCACTGCCTCCCTAAGATCTGCTCTATGGTGAACTTGCCACTGGCTGCCGCATGAGAGGAGCCCCGAAGAAAGATACAAGGACTCCCTGAAACAACATCTCAGCCTTGGCCATATTGATCATCATAACTGGTCTACTCTGGCCTCCAATCGGGAGGTCTGGAGACACACCATCTATAACGCAGCTGCTTCTTTTGAGAACGCACGCAGGATCACCCTTGAGGAGAAAAGACAACGCAGAAAGAATCGTGTCTTGTCGATATCACCTAAGGAGACTTTCTGCTGTGCCTTTTGCAGCTGGACTTGTCTATCTTGCATTGGCCTTTTTAGCCACCAATGCGCTTGTAGCAGATGTGGGTGGAGCCCTTCTCAAATCTTCGTTCGCGAAGCCCAGCCATGATGATGATGATGATATCCAGTTGCAGTGAACTGAACAAC